CCCCCCTCCCTCCCTTCTCTCGCTCTCTTCATGTTTTTTTCTTCGAGACTCGTTTGTATACGTAATACAACGTTCCGAATAAGTTCACCGGGCGCGAATCGGAGTTTAAAAGCCGTCATATCGCGCCTGGTCCTTCGTCATTTCCACCTCGTGTATTTTTAGCCACGGCACACATATGCCGGTCGCGGGAGAGTATCGCGCGAGAAAAGGACGGGCGAGAAGACGGTGAAGTAAGGAGGAGAGAAATGAGCGAGACGCAGCCTCTCTCCTTCCGCTCTCTCTCTCTCTCTCTCTCTCTTACGTATGTGGAACCCTCTCGCCTTCTTTATTTATGGACTTGATATTTCATATTTAACCCCTTAGCCTCCGCGAGAGCTTGGCGTGCCTCGATCGATCAAGATTAAGCCTCCCAGTCGTGAACTTTAATTTGCGAACGCGTTCACGTGTATCCCCCCCCTCCCCCTCCCCTCTGCCGCTCGGGGATTCCGTTACCTTCGTCACCATTTCACAAAATATCGTGCTGCATGTACGTTCGACGTCGTTGCCATACTCCAGCCCGGGCGCAACTTATGTAAGTGCACTTTCGGGACTTAATCTGCTTTTAGGCGCCGCGGTGAAAACCAAGGTTGACAGTTATGGCGCTTACTTTGTCACGCGAATTTCGCCAGGTTTCTTTCGTGACTCGCTGTTCCTCCTTCTCTCGGTTTTTTTTTTCGTCACTCGTTCGGGCTTTTCCCTCTGCGTACATGCGCGATCGCAACGACGTTATTTGTGCGACGCTATTACGGTCTCGCGTGTAATTTACGGCGCCGCGTGGACGCGTGTCCTGTAACCGGCGGCCGATCTTTTAACGCGGTGTAATAGATACGTTGGGTGCACGCGGCATCATCAATTGGTCATCGCTTTCCAATCGAATGTCCCGATAGAATCTCCGCTCGCACATCCCTCATGACTATTTGACACTTACACAGAGGACACTTGTTTATTATTATTTTGTAATTTTACATCAAGAAATATGAGCCTTACCAATCTTCGCGTAATAATCGTTTAATTTCAAGTGTTATTTTCTTTCGAAATCCCCCGAGCAAAAAGAAATTTCCAGAAGTTGATATTTGTAGTGTCGATACTCGCAAGGAAATATGGTAATCATTTTCATAACACTATCTCTTATTTCGGCGGAGAAGTGTCTTTGGTTTTACGTCCGTGCGCGTAAATTTTCATTTGCATCTTCGGCAAGTTTTCGGAGCCTGAAAACGAAACGTGTTTGTCGGGTTTCGTGCTTTCCTCCCCCTTCCCCCCTATTTTACTGACGCCGTAATAACGCTTACTAGAAAAACAGCTCTTCTGAAACCGTAATTCTTTCACCACGGTTTACAGACACGATGTTGTACAGCTACAAAGTGCGAAGTATTTGCCTATCACTGCGGACGACCGATGATTTTCTCACGACT